TGCCCCTCTGGCAGCCACCAATTTGTTCTCTGTATTTATGAGTTTATTTCTACTTTGTTTTTTAGATTCCATATTTAAATGAAGTCATACAGTTTATTGTCTTTCCCTAACTTATTTCACTTAGCATAACATCTTCTAGGTCTATCCATGTTGTCACATGTTAAGATTTCATTCTTTTACATGGCTGAGTAGTATTCCTATGTGTGTGCGTGTATGTGTGCATGCACATGTGTGTGTGTCTGTGTGTGTACACGTACACATACAATATCTTCTTTATTCATTCATCTATCAATGGACACTTAGGTTGCTTCCATATCTTAGCTATTGTAAATAATGCTGCAATAAAGACAGGGGTGCATATATCTTTTCAAATTAGTATCTTTGTTTATTTTGGGTAAATAAGCAGAAATGGAATTGCTGAGTCAGTCGGTATTTCTATTTTTATTTTTATGAGGAACTTTCATACTATTTTCCACAGTGGCTGCACCAATTTACATTACTGCTCAGAGCACAAGGGGTCTCTTTCCTCCATGTCCTCACCAACACTCACTATTTCTTATTTTGATACTAGCCATTTTGACAGGTGTGAAGTCATATCACATGCGCTCTTTAAAATCAGAGTTTTCTCCAGCTGGGTGTAGAAGTGGCAATCAGGAATTTAAAGCATGGGAGGGGTTTGATGCACAAGAAGTTATCTGTTGCTGAGATGAAGGGGGACACATGGCAAAGACCTGACCTGGACCCCTGGTCAAAAGCTAGTCAGACAATGAAGAACTCAATCCTTTAACAGCAAGAAAAAGAATTCTATCAACACTCTAAGCAGTGAAGAAGATCTTGCCCTACCTGAGCCTCAGATAAGGACACAGATGGCTGACACCATGATTTTAGCTTTATGAAACCATGAGCAGAGGATCCAGTTAAAACATGTCAGATTCCTGATGCACAGAAACTGTAATAAATTTGTGTTGCTTTAAGCTACTAAGTTTATGGTAATTTGTTACACAGCAATAGAAAACTAATACAGAGAGGCAAATTTTAAATAGTACCTCTATCTCATTATAAAAAAGTTCTAATTCCAAACTTAAAATCTGTGAGGCCTTCCCCACAGTTAACTTTAGCTCTCACTTCTATTCACTGCCTCACATTACTAGTGTATATATGCTTATTCAATATTAGGATGATAAATTACTCTAGAGACAAACTACATCTGAGTAAGTTTTAATTAAGTAACCTTTAATTAATTAATCTACTACCCCAAAAATGTTTAACAAACTGCCTTGTTTTTAAATTAGCAGATAGACAAAACTTAATATATGATGCAATACCCAAACAGAAAATAGAAAAATAGAAATTCTTCACTCTTACCCACATCTTTCTAAGGTAAAGTTTTATGTATACACTTAGTCATCTAGGGAATGAAGAAATTCTGTATAGTTTAACAAAATGAATCTTGGAAGGTCATATAAAAAATCAATCAAAATGCACTGCTGATCTCTAAGCATTTTTTAAGGCTTTATTTTAATGATAACAAAATAAAAATACTAAATTCTGGGGGCGTCTGGGTGGCTCAGTCGTTAAGCGTCGGCCTTCAGCTCAGGTCATGATCCCAGAGTCCTGGAATAGAGCCCTGCATCAGGCTCCCTGCTCCACGGGAAGCCTGCTTCTCCCTCTCCCACTCTCCCTGCTTGTGTTCCCTCTCTCGCTGTGTCTCTCTCTGTCAAATAAATAAATAAAATCTTTAAAAAAAAATACTAAATTCTGTTTGTAAGATGGCAACATGACACTATTGCTTCCCTTCTTGAAAAATCCTAGAAGAAAGTTGTTTTAGGTGAATATATATCAGCACTCAAAAACAAGCAAAATTCTTGGTAGTCCCAAGTACATAAGGAACCCAGACATAAAGAAAAGTATACAAAATCAGTTTTAAGTGAGAAATTTCACTAGCAAAAGCATGTCAGAAAGAATACTACCACAGAAGGTGTGAGCAACATTAAGCATGCTCTCAGACTTGTTGGAAGCTAAGAACATGAGAAGGTCTAGGAGCAGACAACAGTGGTTGCAGTAAGCGAGTGACCTCCATTGCATTACTCATCTCCACAAGCCAGAAAGCAGTTAGTTACCTTCAGATAGGAGTGACCAGAGAAGGCATAGTGGTAAAAGACAGGCTAATCCTCTGAATGACTGGTTATAATGAAGAAAAATGAGAGTCTCCTTAGCCCAGAAAATAAACTGTTGAGGTATTTGCCTGGCAGAATATCAATACACATTCCATCCATTCTCTACTCCCAATGAAAACTGTGCAGGGGACAGGTCAGTAACACTCTCCTACCTCACCAGGAGGCCACTCAAACAAAGGTAATGAGCAATAAAATAGCCACTCCCAAATATGAATACTGTCAAGAACACCAAGGTTTGACAAATGCCAACACTGTGAAACAGAGAACTCAAAAACGGAGGAAACCAATAATAGCACACTAAAAACAAGATTTTGCAATAACTGTAGTATTATCAGAAAAATGAGAATATGATTAAGGAAATTTAGGGGAAAACTAATTACAATTCATGGACATGAAAACACAAGTTTATAAATCAAAAGAAGAAACTCATTAGGTGGGCTGAACTGTAGAGGAGACAACACTTAAGACTATATTAGTAGCTAAAAACCAGGCCCAGGAATATGTCTAAAATATATCAGTAAGAGAGAAAGGGATAAAAAGGATGAAGAAGAGATAAAAAGGGTGAAACAGAAGTACAGACAAGAGGACATCTGATGAAAGTTCCAATCTATCCATCTAAGAGGCATTCTCATAAGAAGAAAAAGGAAAAGAAGCAGTAGTTGAAGCAATGGGGCCAAATTAGTTCTAGACTTAAGGCTGTTCTGGATCTGCCTTAACAGAACTTAAAAGCAAACTGAAAGACTCAAAACCATTTCCTAGTAACTTAGCTGCATCCCCGAATAAAGCCCAACATACTTAAATTTGAAAAAATCCAAAATTTTTATACAGACACACAATACCTGGCATCCAATCATAAATTACGAGGTATGTGAAGAAGCATGAAAAGACTCCAATGAGGAGAAAAATCAATCAGAAATGACAAAGATAACAGATTAGAGGTCATAAAAAAGCTATTATATTCAAATTCAGGAATGTAGAGAAAAACAAAAATATTATAGAGAAATGGAAAGTATAAAAATGACCCAAATAAACTTTAAGAAATAAAAAATACAAGATGAAAAAATTTTCTGAGATAAAAAAAATACAATGTCTGCATGGGATTAATAGATTAGACAAAACAGAAGACAAGATTAATGAACCTGAAGGTACAGAAATAAAAGCTATCCAAAATGAAAAATAGAAAAAAGAGTGAAAAAAATGAACAGACCCTCAATGAGCTGTTGAGAGAGCATCACATGGTCTAGTGAATGCGTACTGAGAGTCTCAGAATCAAAGAGAGAGAAGAGAAAAATATTTTTTAATAAATAATAGATGAAATTCTTCCGAACTTGATGAAAATTATAAATCCACAGATCCAAGAGACTCAGTGAATCCCAACAAAATAAACATGAAGAAAACTACACTAAGCTACACTGTAATCAAACTGTTTCCAGTGATAAAATGTTAAAAGTCAGTAGAGAAAAAAGACATATTACATATATAGGAAAAAGATAAAAATGACAGTGAACTTCTTATCAGAAACAGACATGCCAGAAGATAACTAGAGAAACATCTTTAAAGTACTGAAAGAAAAAAATCTCAACCTATAATATTACACTCACCAAAAATATTTTTCAAAAAAGAAAGCAAAATAATTTTTCAGACATACAAATGCTAAGCATATTCACCAACTGACCACTACTACAACTTATCATTTAAGCATGAGGACAAAATAAAGACAATTCCCAACATATCTTGGGAAGTTTCTGTCCAAAAGAATTGCCAGAGAATATTCTCTATCATAAAGAAAAATAAAGTAAGGGCAGAATAGTAGAATGTAATGATGAGGAAAGAAATATATAAATCTTGACAAGTCTAATAATTGTTTTAAAATATTTTAAATTAAAAATCTGTAACTAAAATTCCAGATGCTATTAACTTTGGAGATATGGGGCAAGAGAAAACACAGGAGGTTCTCTTCTACTATCTACAGGAAGGATACAAATACAGATTAATTCCAAAATTAGAAAAACAAATTCATGTGTTAAAAATATAAAGGGTAACCATTAAAAAATCTAAGTATCTTTCAATGACATTATTTCAAAGAAAAATATCCTCAATTGAAATAATTACATTAACTCACAAAGATACTGCTTATGAACTTATAGTAGTTATAAATGTAATCAAAGTACACTACCATATAATTGACCTATTTTCTATGTTAGCAAGATGCTTCATGGTGTGGTGTGCTGGTAGAAACAATCATCAGTTGTTCTGTGGACAAAAGGTCAAAAAGGCATTTGTGCACCTCTACAAGTCAAAACTATTAGGTTTTAACTACTAAAATGATTATCTAAAAACTGTTAATATCTTCTTGGATACATGACTTAATGTATCCAAGTCATGTAATGTATACATGACTTGGATACATGCCAGTTAGCTGGCATTTTGATATATTTATCAAAATGTTTCCCATTTTTCTTTTAAAATTCTTAGCTACTTAAAAGTATTTAAAACGAAAAGCATGTATGAAAAAACAAACCTAGCAATGTAAAAACTCATTTGTTTTAATATAAATATCTAGGTTGCTTTATCTACTTCTCTTTTTAGAGGAAGAATACAGCTATGAACTTACTCTTAATTAACCAAACCATCAATAGAATTTCACCTCAGTATAAAAGATATGGCAGAAGACATATGGTAAAGACATATCACAATTTTATACTCTGTAAAGTTTAGAGTAAATGTTCGTAAAGATTTAGAATTCATTTATACCTACCTTGTTCCAGACCTTCACTTTGAATATTAATATGTTCAAAATCTCAAAAAAAAAAAAAATCATACCATATGTCCTTCAGCTCGAGCTTTATTTTGCCGTGCTTCTCGTTTTCGCTGTAGGAACTCTTCCACTTGTTTAGCTCTTTCCACAGCTAGCTGCCCCTTTTGCCTGAGTAATTTGGACAAATAGCAAAGTCAGAAATTCTGAACATTAAGTATTTCAAAAAGTTAAAAATTAGACTTATTCTAAATGTTTTCTTTGTTGCAGAATATGAAATAAAACCTTCCCCTGTAATGAAAAAATAGCTACATATTTTACTACTACCTAAATCACATTCTTCACTATTTTAAATAGAAGTAAAATCTATACTACTACTCCAAATCTTATCAAGAAGGTTTCTCTCACATTTATTTAATCTATTCTACTTATAAACCCATAAAATTATTTTGGACTATAATTATAGAAGAATCTCAATAGTTTCCCAGTAGTGAAACCTATCTCAGAACTCTGTACCAAATATATCTAAGAACCTTCTTTAAACAGCATTGAAGTAAAATTAGAGCAGTACAGTAGCAATTTCAAAACTGAAATACGAATTCAAAAATGAATAAAAAGTTTGTGAGTTTTCACAATACAGTAAAAAACAATGTCTAAATTCCTTGAGTATCACAACTATTAAAAAAGTAAAAAGTAAAATGCACAGGTTATATTTCTCTATCTTTCTCTGACAATTATAAAAGAATGTAAACATGTTGAGCTTAGACTACAAATAAAAACTATAAGGGCACCTGGCTGGTTCAGTTGGTTAAGCATCGACTCTTGATTTCTGTTCAGGTCATGATCTCAGGGCTGTGCGACTGAGGCCTGAGTTGGGCTCTGCACTGGGCGTGGAGCCTGCTTAAGATTCTCTCTCCCCCTGCCCCTCCCACCCCTGCTGGCATGTGCTCCCTCTCAAAATTTTTTAAAAATTTTAAAAATTTAAGTTTTAATTTAAAAAATATATATAAATATTTGTTGAACATTTAATATATACTATACCTGTTCTATTGTACCTAATATACATTGTGCCTTTTACATATTATGCCTGCCTGTTATATATTTTGAAAGATAAAAAAATAAATAAAATCCAGTCCCAACAATCAGAGAACTCATAGCATAATATCAACTGCAGTTAATTTTGGAGGTGAGTTAAAAAGATGAACAAGTGATTGGCTGTGCTTCCACTCAGATTTTGGCTACTAAGGCACACAAACTTCCTACAGCCTCTCTTTAAGATCATAACTAAGTTATGTTCTGAATAATATAAGAAGTAACGTCTTTTCTGTCTTCCAATAGGTTTAAACACTTCCTGATTTCCATCATTGGAATTTTCTAAGATTAGATAATCCCAATAACTGGCTAAGAGTCTTTTATTATGACTGTCAGGTGTATGTAGGTAGCTAACTCTTAATCTAGTTCCACATCACAAAATTCAGAAATGTACTTCATAATCCATGGTAGTTTGAGTAGATTAAGAACAATGAGTAAGAAATTTGTTTATGCCTCTGTAGTGCACCTGTGCTATCCTCTAGCAGTCATACTATGCACCGTATAATTATGAGATTAATATCTAGTCTGGATGCTATAGTCCCTTTATATAAGGTTGGGCCTGAAGAGGGCCCATAAACTTTAAGAGGATATGACACTCAGACATGTAATCTGAAGCTGCATGTCTATGAGTAAGGCTCTTCTGGGGGGTCCTGGAAGCTTACACCACCACTTACAATTAAATAAAATTGCTGATGTCTATGCTTTGTATCCTGACTGCATCTCTGACCTTTATAAAAGTAAAACATGTTTCATTTCCCATCCTAAGATACTATGTCCAATGTTTGTCAGTCTAAACCTCCAACTCACATATGTTAATACAACAGCTGCAAAGAATTACTTTAGTAAAACCTGGTCATATATATAATGGTTTTGATTTATAGATTTTCATACCATTTAAATATATAAAGTACTCCTGTTCTATTTATTTATAGGATTTATAGGTTTAGCTTCACTGAATAGTCTTTTCCTAAGCTGGTTTAAATAAACAGGTTTACATAACTCACTGCTTTCAATCACAAACTTAAAACCTGTAGTGATTTTTGCTTAACATTATTTCTTTTCCCCTCTCATTTATTAAACAAATACTTATCGTCAACTATTTGCCAGTATTATACTTTATCTGTCTTTGAAGATGTAAAGATGTATAAAACAGAGTTCCAAAAATGCAAGGTTGATTCAATATACAAAAATGAGAGTAATGAACCTTATTAAAAGAACAGAAGGACAAAATCAGTTTAATTAATTCTATGACCCCTCATAACACTTAAAAACCTATAAATAAACTGTCTTTATTTTTCACATTTGTTTACTACTTCATATACACTAAAATAAGAACCTGAGCCCCGCATCAGGCTCTCTGCTCGGCGGGAAGCCTGCTTCTCCCTCTGCCACTCCCCTGCTTGTGTTCCCTCTCTTGCTGTCTCTATCTCTTGTCAAATAAATAAATAAATAAAATCTTTAAAAAAAAAAACAATATACTTATATTCTTATTCCTCTCTAAAACAGTAAAACTGCTAAACTGTTGGCACAAATTGTTCATGCTACCTTCATAGAAATAAACCAGAAATAGTCTATTTATTCAATGGTCATTTTCTTCCTTAAACATTATTAAGAATTCATAGGCACATACTATTTTAGACAAATTAAACACTCTATCTTCTCCATCTTTTGAGTTCCAAAATTATTCCACTTAAAATCAGTAAAACAAAAATCTAGATTAATAATAAAGTAATGGTAACATAAACACTATATAAACCACAATTACTATATAAATATATAAACCTAAGAAATTAGGAATTAGCAAAGTAAAAGACAGAGACATTAAAATGCATTAAAAAGAAGTAATTATTCTAAGACAACCCCTTTTTTCATCCTGAAACGGGGGGTAGGGAAGGAGTAAGTTCTTCCCTTTCCTTTTCTTATTACAAAGGCATGAATAAGTGCCAACATCTGGGTAGGTTACTTCATATCCATGGCTCAAATCCTTTACGGGTAAGAGATATTTAAAAGTTTTGAAGGATGATTATGGGTGATTAAGAGGTAAAAACAACACAAAAATAAGTAGCAATCCAGGTAGAAGAAATAATCTGAGAAATAAAAAATGAGTCAATATGGTTTAAGGTAGAAGAGCTGGAGTGGTACAGAGTTAAGGAGATGAGAAAAGAACATAGGGGGTTTACTCATTAAGCTTCCTCCTCTGTTTAAGTGGGATAATGTCGATCTGATGGAATGGAACTGCTGTCAGCTTTACCCAAATTAAATGATGCAATAGAAAGAAAAAGACTTGGAAAAGTAAAAGCACCTATAAAACACAAGTATTAAGAGGCACTCAATAGTTTTATAAAATGGTCTTACATGGCTCAGGCTCTAATATTAAAAAGCTCATTGAATGTAAGTTCATCAGCTGCAAAGTGTACCACTCTGATGGGGGATGCTGCTAAGGGGGAAGACTATGTAAATGCAGGGACAGAGATAATAGATGGGAAATCTCTGTACCTTCTCTCTCAGTTTTGCTGTAAACCTAAAACTGCTCTAAAAGAAGTATTAAAGAAAAAGCTAATTGAAGAGGTGTGTTAAGACAGATACAAGCAAAGTCAGACTGGCCAGTTATTGATAATAAGGGAAGAGGAAAAATAGGTAAAGCCATAAAGAGGGAGCAGGCAAAGAGGGGTGATCCAAAATACAAGGAAAAGAAAATTTGAAAGAGTTGACCATAAATATCAATTTGCTGATTCAGTTTGAAATAGGGAAAAGAACTGACCAGAAAAGACAATGAAATACAAATTACAATAAAACCAGATATTATGACGGTGTGGAGAAAATGTTCTTTAATGCCAATGGCCACTAAAATGTACAAGACAAAAGAATCTAATATTTAAATGGGAGGAGACCTTAAGTATTAACTAGTCTAACTTCTTGATGAATAAAGCATTCCTCCACTCCCATCTGGATATACCTGATACATGGTCATTCAAACCTCTAGTTCAATAGCTTCAGTTTGAGGACATTCGTTAAATCCCATGACAGGCCAGCCACTGAACAGCCCTCATATTGGGCTAAAATCGGTTCCTCAACTTCTCCGAGTCATAATAATTCTACATGGTGGAAATATATATAAGTCTAATTTCTCTTTTACATGAAAAGCCATCCAATTTTTCTAGGCTTGCTCCTTTAAGCATGATTTCTTTAATGGTGGCTAAATTCTCCCAGCTTCTTTAATTTTCCTAATAAATTGTTTTAATCCTCACTAAAGTCAATATGGCACAACAGTCAAGTGAGTGAACTTTGGAAACAAACTGTCCAATTTCGACTTCTGGTTTTACTAATAAATAGTTATGTGGCCTTCAACAAATTGTTTATGCAGTGCCTCAATTTCTTAATCTGTAAAACAGGGAGAATTTTAATACCTGCCCCATGGCATTGGTGATAAATAAATGAGTTAATACTATGGTCAATTCCCATTATTCACAGTAGTCATGTTCTGTAAGGTCACCATGAACAGTGAATTAGCCAATACTGAACCACCACCCCTAGAAAAAATACAGGATTATGTTCCTACTAGCCTCTTGTTTCAACATCTTCCACAATGGATTGATATATAACACTGTTTTATGTGTGTTTCTATTTAAAGACGCCTTATTTAATGTATATAGCCTGAACTCTCATCTCGGCCAACAACACGGGCAACAATACTCTTTCTAACAGTGGAGCAAAGCTTATTTGACACAAATATTTTCTCCATGAGATACTTCACAGCCTTCCTGCACTTAGGAACATCAGACAGCACTTCAGTGCTGTTTGAGGGCCATTTTAATCAGTGAAATCACCAAGATGATGCACAAAAATGCAAAGTTCGGTAATAAATACACCACTAAAACTACAATTGTTTATGAGTGCTGAAACAAGAACACAAAGCATCGCCTTTTCAAACTCAAATTGGAATACGTGCACCAGAAAACTCAAAATTTTTTGCTGCTCTGTACACATCCATGAATATCCATGAAAGCACTGGGAGTACTGATTGTGGGGTTGTATATAAATTTTAGCAAGGAGTCAAATTCATAAACACATACTCCACA